CAGTCACAGCCGTGCTGTCACTCACACTCACACCTCCACAGTCACAGCCGTGCAGTCACTCACACTCACACCTCCACAGTCACACCCGTGCTGTCACTCACACTCATATACCCCACAGTCACAGCCGTGCTGTCACTCACACTCACACCTCCACAGTCACAGCCGTGCAGTCACTCACACTCACACCTCCACAGTCACACCCGTGCTGTCACTCACACTCATATACCTCCACAGTCACTCATTTACACTATAATTTCACACACACTCCTACATACACATACTCTGATCCACACACATTCCTACACACACTCTCATTCATACACACACTCCTACAGACACACACACTCTCCCATGCACACACACAGTTTTGTACACACTCTCACACACTCTGCCATGCACGCATACACACACTCCTTCACATATCCCTTTTCAGTTCAGGGGCTGTGGATGCCACGCAGCTCTTTTCTGGGGGTGACAAGAAAGTCCCACACTTCTTGTCAGTAGAGGCTTCTAACCCTTCACTCTTCAGACCTGAAAGGACTAAAGGTAACCCTGTGCTGGGTTCAGCCTGGAGCATTTCACAACTCCTGGCATGTGGGGCTCGCCTAGGGTGAGCTTCTGGGCCAGGAGCCCAGTGCCTCCCACACACTCCTGCATCTTTCACCTGTGGGATTTCCTCCCACAGGGAAGAGCCGTCACGACCCAGGAAGCTCATCCCACGCATGCAGAGTCTGCGGTACATGGACACCTTGACACACTTACACCTGCGAACAACTTACGACTTTGGAGTTGGGAGGATTTCTTAGCAACCACGTAAGAAGTCCTGATTACAAATTACGAGGCTGATGGAACTGGAGTGCTTCCAAAACAAACCATCTATCAAAATCACCATAAAGAAAGTCGGAGAGAAGCTACAGACTAGATTTTCACTTGGGGACACTGCTGGCAGAGGGTGGACAACAGGCACACGAGTTGGAGCCCTGTTCTCCAATGGTTCCCTCAGCCCTGCCCCCAGGCCCCCCAACCATGCCGCCTCCAGGGAAGGACCTGCCCAGGGCACTCTCGTGTCCTCGCCTGCCCCGCTCAGGAACCAGTTCAGCTGCAGGTGGGCAGAGGCTGAGTCACAGCTGGAGGTCTGGGTTGTGGGCGCCTGTGTGCCCAACCACGGCGGGGGAGGCCATGAGGAAGTGGTTCAATGAGTCAGAGGTCCCAGTGGACACTGACCTCCCCATGGCCCTGACGGATGCCGGATGAGGAAGTGTATGGGATGTGGCTTCTGCCAGTCATGTGAGCCAGCAGATACAGACCGCTGGGTTTGGCAGGACCAAACGCCGCTGTCCCCTGAGGCTGGGGTCAAGGCACAGCCTGTGGCCACCTGGTATGTCCAGGATACCCAAGAACAGCAGGCAAGGAGAGTCCTTAGCCAGCTGGGTGCGAGGGTGGCCCTGGATCCTCTGTGGCCCTTGGTGGAACAGAAATGCTGTGGGTGGAACACAGGTCCCTGAGGGGGCCTGCAGTTCTGGAAATTGATGCTGGACAGGGGTTAGCAGCTTGTGGACAGGGCGCCCACAGTGGATATCACATGACAAGGTGGGCTTGCTCCCACAAGGCTGCCAAGGTCTGGTTGAGCACTGAAGGGACACGCACGCTGAGGAGGGAGGCTCCTGGCTGGGGAAGCAGGGCTGGGACTCCTGCGGAGCCTTTGGGAAGTCCTGGGCCCCGCGGCTGGCTGTCTATTCAGACTTCTCACCTCCGGAGCCACGAGGTGTGGCAAACCTTGCTGGGCAGTGACCGGGAAGCAGAGTGGAGACCTTTGGGCAGCCCCACAGTGTGGGAGCCTGAAGCGTGTGCCCTGGCAACGCTGGGTCATGACTAATGGGTACCCTGACCCTAGGGGAGCGTCACCTGCAGAGCAATGAGAGTGGCTTGGGGGCCGCAGTGGTCATAGTGTCTCCCAGGAGCACGTGTGTCAGCCTGGGAGCCGCTGCCCGTCCTCCTGACCTGCCATACACCTCTGCTCTAGAAAAGTCTCCTTCAGGCTCCTGTGGGAGTGTGCAGAAGGGAGGAGCTGCTGCTGGCACCACAGCATGGTTTGCCCATAGCCAGACCTCCCTGGCCCTGGACATGGCACCCTGGAGTGTGTCCTGGAGACCAGGAGCTCTGTGTGAGCACAGTGGGAAGCTCTCAGCTGATGGAAGACTAAGGAAAGACCCAGGGAGAAGACCCTGCAGTGCTGCAGCAGGCTGAGGGGCTGCTGGGCCACCCTGGTGAGCAGCTGTCCCCCAGGGCAGAGCAGAGGCCAGCAAGACCCAACTCTGCATCTCCCAGGCTGAGGACTGCACTGTGCCCCTGACAGGAATGTGGGGCACCTCCCGGGGTGCTGACTCTGCCTGGCTAATCCTCTGACTCTGCCTGGCTCATGCAGGTCCTGTGGACGCGGAGGGACTTGGGGGATGCCAGCAGATCCCTGGGGGCCTTACTGCAGCTTGTGGCTTTTTGAAGGGTCCATGGGAAAGGGCCAGGTCCGGGGGGGGGGCATCCTGGCTTCTGACCTGTGAGCATCCCAAGCAGGATCAGACTTGAGAAACAGGCTTGGGGGCAGGGCTTGGCATGCAGGGTGCTAGGCCAGCAGGGGCTGGAGAGTTTCATCTCAGACACAGCAGGCAGCCGGGCTCACAGCCTGCACTCACACCGCTTCCTGTCACATGCCGACTCATAGATACACAGACTCATAGATACACAGGTGCTGACACATGGATACAGAGTGGCACACACCCACACACTGAGCCATGGATGCACACACAGCCTGAGGCCTGCTCTGAGGCGCTGGCCTTGCCTGGGCCACTGGCTCGGGACTGAAGCAGGTCTTTGGGTTATGCCCGTTGGCTCCCAGGGGTGTCGAGGCAACCTCTCCAGGAGGGAGTCACTGTCCCATGGAAGTCTGCAGAGCAGCACAGGGCTGGATGCAGCCTTGCTCCTGGCTGAGGGCCAGTGCACACAGGTCCTCTCTGCTGGCCTATGCACGTGTCTGTGTAGGGAGGGAGGGTGGCTGGGGAGTGGGGCATGAGCCACCCACCCTGAGGAGGGCCTTCCAGCAACAGGCGCGTTCTGAGGCCCGAGCCTGGATGGACCTGGTCATGGTTCACAGAAAGGGCTTTGCTGGGGTGGGCACTGCGCAGACTTGTGTCCATTTAGGGTTTGTTATATGTAAAGAAAGAAAAGCTGAGCTGCACGAGGGAATGGTGAGCTGGATCCCAGCAGGTCTCACCTGCTGACCTCACCTCCCAGGCTGAGTCCTTAAGTCCTCAGGGACCTCACAGGGACTCCCCGGGGCTCAGGGCCTGGGTGGCCACAGAGTAAGGAGCTCCTCCCAGTCTCAGCCACTTGCCCTTGTGCCCACAGCATGCCAGCCTGGCTCAGGGTCCAGCTGTGTCTGCACAGGAGGCCAGAGCATGTGACCACAGGCCAGTGAGGCACAGGCATCCTTGCCATTCTCTCACAGTGGCAGGTCAGGCAGGTGGGTCTGCAGCCACTTCAGCACCCTAGGGTTCTGAAGGCCGGTAACCCTCAGAACAACCCTCTGGCAACAGAGCCAAGCTGGAGTTTGTCAGTAACGTCCCTGTCCCAGGGCAGGGTCAGGGGCTAGGCCAGCCAAGGGTGGCTCTCCTCAGGTGCCCTGTGCCTTGTCCTAACACCACGTGCGTGACATCCTGTTTTGTAAAGTCCATCTTATTCCAGAAGCAGCCCACTGGCATGTGTAGTGGAGCAGCCTCCACAGTCACTAGAAAGCCCAGAGCCTGGACAGCTGTTGCAGAGACAAGGTCAGAGGTCACCTGACTGCAGACAGGCTGTGCCATGACAGAGGTGCTGTGCGCCTTTCTGTCCTACCCTGGTCTGCCCTTGAACAAGCCCAAGTCCAGGTAACACCAGGACTGGGACACACATTCTAGCATGCTGAGGTCAGCAGTGCCACCCCTGAGCACCAACAGCATGGACGACCTGAGCGACCAGCAGGCCTCGGCCAGGGCAGCTCTGGGCAGACAGAGGCTGTAGCAAGACCAGCTCTAACCCTGTGTCTGGGGCTTTTCCACATGCATGCAGAAGAGCAGCTCAGCTACCATCACCACTTCCCGGGGCTTCACAACTGTCACACTTGGAAACAGGGTGAGGGCAGTCCCTCTGCAGGTTTCACCACCCAGCACGCCAGCCCAGCCTCATCAGGACCCACACCCTGCATTTCACATAGGTGCCTCAGCTGGTGGTGCCGAGCAGCTGCTCTCTCCACAGGGCCCTTCTGTACCTCACCCCCTGGACAGTGTCCAGCCCCAGGCGTGGGTGACTGCAGGCAGGTACAGCCTCCTGCTGCAGACCACCCGAGCTCACGGCTGCCTGGGCACAGCAGACGGCCATGCAGGAGCCACAAGGGCAGCTCCTGACCACGAGTGGGCATAGCAGACAGCCATGCAGGAGCCTTTGACCGCCCGAGCTCACGGCTGCCTGGGCACAGCAGACGGCCATGCAGGAGCCGCAAGGGCAGCTCCTGACCACGAGTGGGCACACGGTGTGGGCTCCGGGCACGCACGGTCCTGTCGCTGGTGCCCGGTTCCCCCCCGGGCCCCCAGGGGCGGGGAGGCAACAGGGAAGTGGCCATCGTGTGCCAGGTCGCACGCGGCGGGCACAGGGGCCACGCGGCCTCCTTTGAGGACAGGTAAGCCCCGACCACCGCGCCTGCGCACCGCGCCTGCGAACTGCACCGCCAGCAACCAGTACCGCGCCTGCGCACCGCGCCGCCCGCCCCGAGCATCACGCCTGCGCACTGCGCTGCCTGGCCAGCACTGCATCTGTGCAGAGCGGGCTGTCCTACCAACGCGCATGCGCACCGCATCGCCTGTCTCAGCCGTGCGCCTGCGCACCGCTCCGCCTGCCCCGAGCACCGCGCCTGCGCAGTGCGCTGCTGGCTCCTCCGCTCCGATCCGCGGCTCTCTCGGCTCCTCTCCCGGAACCACTTCCTCTCCTGGCCTCAATTGTTTCTTCCGGTCACGCTTTGCTACAGCCTCATGCAAAACTGAGGCTGAAGCTATTTCAGCGACTCCCAGCCCTGGAAGATGTTAAAAATAGCGACCGGAACAGACAGTTTCCCGTCTGAGGGCTGGGAGAGAGCCTGCTGGCTCACACGCACTTTCCACTTGCTGACCGCGGGGAAAGGGGAAAAGGAAATTGCTGACCACTTTGACGAAACGCTTCCCTTGACGATTGCCCTTGGAAGAGACGGTGCTCTGGCCGCAGAGCTGACCCGGACCACAGAGCTGACCTGGGCTGCATGCCTGAACTGGCTTGCATACCGGACTTGGACTGCATGCTTGACTTGGGGCACATGCCGGACCCGGACTGCATGCTTGACCTGGAGCACGTGCCTGACCCAGCTACACGCTTGACCCGGGCTGCATGTCAACCCCCATGCCTCATGCCTGACCCAGGCTGCGTGCCTGACCTGGCCTCATGCTGGTCCCCGGACAGCCTCATGCTTGACCCAGACCTTGGGCCGACCCCTTGACTGCATAGCTGACCCGGCCAGCATGCCTTACCTCCAGACCTCGTGCCTGACCCTGGCCTCAGAGCTGGCTTAGGCTGCAGTCTGACCTGGGCCACATGCCTGACCACCAGGCTGCATGTCTGACCTGGGCTCGGATGCTCTGGTGAGTCCCACGGGTACACCCTCCCCACACCTGCCCCGTCCAGCTCCTGCCTGCACGGACAGGTGGACACAGGCCATTCCCGTGTCTCGGGCTGCAAGTACCACCCCTGCCCGGCACTGGGTCCTGAGTGGCGGCGTCCCCCCGAGGTTCTGTGTGTTTCAGTGGAAACTCAGGCCGTGGATACACAAGGAAAGCAGAATCCGGTGTGGGTTTTGGAGATGGACAGGTTGGAGCTTGGGAGCTGAGGACATGCAGACTAAAAGGGAGGGGACACAAGGCCCCCCCCCCCCCCCCCCCCCCGCCCTGCGAGAGGGGACTGCAGGGCCATCCACAGTGAGAGGACTGCGGAGGCCCTCAACACCGGGAGCCCCTTCCCTCCAGACTCCCACTCCACTGAGCCCTGGGAAGCCTGCTCTTGGCACCTTCTTGGGGACAGGGCTGGGGAATGCAGCCTTGGCTTGGGGTGCTTGTGCAGGCACCCTTCCCCCGTGTCTCCTCCCTTGAGCTGCCCTGGAGGCTGAGCAGTTTCAGGGTGCCTGTGACATAAGGGTGAATTGATGGGAAGAACAGCCAACAATCAGTCCACCCTGAGTGCTTGAGCAAACAGTGCTTTGGGTTCATTTTTAAAAATAAGATTCGTTATGTGTTTGAAAGAGGAAGGAGAAACTGAGAGCTCTTCCATGTGCTGACTACTTATTTCCCAAATGCCCACATCCATGGGAGCTGGGCCAGACCAAAGCCAGGAGCCAGGAGTTCATCTAGGGCTCCCTGGTGGATGCTAAGGGCGTGAAGATGGGGAACTCACCTGAGGTGTGCAGTGTGGGGGGCAGACACGCTGAACCTGCAGGGCAGTGGGTGGTAGTCTGAGCCTGCAGGAGGGCAGCGGGAGGTGATCTGAGCCTGCAGAGTCAGCTTACGGTGGGCAGCACATGCCCGCCACAGAGGGAGTTGTTCATCAGAGTCCAGATTTCCTGTATCCGTCTCTCCTGGGGTCTTCTGTCCAGCAGGCGCCGAGACCACCAAGGGGTGAGGAGGCAGTGTTCTGCAGCAGAAACACCGGAGACAAAATGGTGGTGAGGGATGTCCCTTACCTGGAGAGAAGTCACAAGCTTATGTAGGGTAGGAAAAGGGGGCAGGCAGAAGGGTGGTCCCAACAATACTCCCACCCAGCAGTGACACTTTGACAGGCTAGTAGGTATGTCTCTCTTTGGACCCTCCAATGAAGTTAAAGGTCAGGCAGCAGAGGAAGCTGTGTCTCAGAGCAAACTTGTTACTTGCTGAAAAGCGGGTGGAATGTAACATTTGAATTTTTAGAGTTGTTTATAGAGGAAGTCCTAGCAGAGTAGGGAAGAGACTGGGGTGCAGCCCATGGCTCTTGTTGCATGCCCAGTGAACAGGTGATGTTGGGGTCATGTGTGTGTCATGTGCCTATGGCCTCCAGTATGGGCTAGGCAGGCAGAGATCCAGGGGTGAACTCCCATGTTCTCCTGACTGTAGATTCTATTTGCTCAGACCTCCCTCCTTCTCACTCGTTCTCATATTCTTTTATTTGAAAGGTGAGATGCAGAGAGAGATGTACACACAAAGACACAGACACACACACAGTTTTCCACCTACTGCTTGACACACTAAGTGGCTGCAAAAGCCTGGGCTCCATGTGAGCCTGCAATGTGGGCGCAGGCCCATAGCACTGGGACCACCTCCTGCAGCTTTCCTGCCCTCCTGCAGGCTCAGACACCTCCCACTGCCCTCCAGCAGTCCTTGAACCACCTCCTGCTGCTCTCCTGCAGGCTCAGACCAGCTCCCGTTGCCCTCCTGCAGGCGGGGCACCTAGAGAGATCAACCTGGTCCTGGTGCTCAGGAGTACTCAGAACATTGCATCAATCAGCCCCCAGAGATGCCATGGTTCCCCAAGACCCATGGACCAGACACTGAGTCCCCAGACTGCAACATGTTCAGAGAGAAACCCAGGTAGGTGTGGAAAGATTGGGGACAGTGCTGCTCAACTCTGCCCACGTAGCTGTGATGCCACCTGAGCTCCAAACAGGAAAGAAACTGGACTGAGCTGCCAGGAAATGAGGCCATTCCAGGGGTGCAGCTCTGTGCTTCTTTCAGGAATTGTGGAAATATGCAATAAGAAAACCTCCGTAAAGAGCACAGCCTCTGCTGACGGCCATGTCCCAGGTGCTGCTGACCGCCCGGGCATGGAGAAGTGGATGATGGGGTGGAAGAATGCAGGGACAGATGTGAGAGATCCAAGGAAGGGCACACTGCCTGGGTGTGCGGGCTGCCTGGTGTGGAAAACAGGATGTTGCTTTCTGGGAAAGCCGCAGGAAGCACTCTGTCAGGGTCCGTTCACCGATCAACGTGTGGCTGTACAAGCCTCTCTGGGGAGAGCCAGAGCCGATTACTGAGCTAATGAGCTAGCTTGCACTCCCTGGTTTTTTGTTTTGTTTGTTTGTTTTTAGTTTTGCTAATTTTACTATTGACTGGAAAAGCCACTTGAAAGGTGGTACTTCCTTGGCTCAGTAGTCTTTGATTGTCGATAAGGAATGGCAGTTGCAGAGGGCTGGGTTCCTGAAGGGAGTTGCCCACCCAGCTGTCTCCTAAACGGAGCAGCAGGATTCCATCACACACACATCCAGCCCCTCCACACTCTTGCCCACCACCGATGGGACTCCAATAGCCAAGTGGGAAATGGCCTCTGAGGCTTGTCTCCATAGGTGCGTGGGGGATGAGGCAGCCTCAGTTGCTGAGGGAAGGAGGGAAGTGGCCCCAGGGCTCCTGACATCCACTGTGGGTGGCCTGCTGTCATCTGAAAATGGTCTTTGGGGATGCGTTGGTTCCAGCGACCTCTGGTTGCCCAGCAGTGCCCCTCTGGGTGCTACTGGGATGGCACACTCCTCTGCTTGGTCCTTTTAGGTGCAGCTGGCCTCAGGGCTCACTGTCGGAACATCCTTCCGTGTAACTGTTGTGGAAGAGACGCTGTGCCTGCCCCTAAGACCAGCTTTGTCCAGTCGGCTCCTGCTGGCTTCTTGTTCCTCTCCTGTCCCCCCACAGGCTCTGCCGGAACATGGGAATGAAAGAGGAGACAGCCAGAGACCTGTGGTCTGGCAACAGAGGTGGCTCCACGGGGCAGCTGGTGGCGGGCTGGTCTAACCTGGGGCATGTGCTGTGAGCATAGCCCAGGCCTGGGACCCTGAGGAGACAGAGTAGGTGCAAGTGCCGGGGTCCTTCCTGTGTGAAGAGTGGAAAATTACTACCCAAACTGGGTACGTGTGGCTGCTCAGGACACCTTGTAGGCAGGAGGGATGGGGACAGGGGAGGGAGAGGTTTCCTTCACCACACAGCAGATGTGATCAGACGGGAGCCATACTTATGCTGTGAAAGCAAAATAGACTCCGTGACACTAAGGGGCACATCAAATATGGTGGGTGGCAGGAGTGTCATTAACAGGCACTGCGTCATCCATCATTTAAACACATCAGAGTATGGTAGTCCACCTTCTGTGGCTATGACAAAATCTCGTGCTGGGTGGTGTCCAGGACTAGAGACCCCATCTGTGTGTTCTCTGGTGAGGTGGGTGTTATCACAGTCAGAGCCTGCGTGAGGGGGTGGTCATGTGGCAGGCAGGACACTGGAGGGCCAGGCCAGCCTCGCCCTGTCTCTGTAACCAAGGTCCCAGGAAAAGTCCTCAATCCCTTAAGAGGACACTGGGTGCCTCCACTGTGCCCCCACCATGCACCCTGAGCACAAGGCCTCCAAACAGGAGCCCTGGGGGAGGAAGCCAGCTCTGATCCATTGCAGGAAGTGAGGGGCTTCCTGGGGACCCAGGAGAGGAGACTTGGGGGTGACTGCTCTGTGGGGCGCTAGGTCCAGCACCAAGCCGTGCATCTTGCTTGATGTCCAGGCCTTTCCCCAGCACCTGCAGGCACCAGGACAGATCCACCAAGTTGTGTCGCAGAGTGCGTTGCTCACTGGCATGAAATCTCAGCATCCAAAATGGTGCTGTGGTTTAAGGAACTCTGCAGCAGCAGCCACTTTCTTTTTGTAAGATTTTTATTGTAAAGTCAGATTTACAGAGAAGATGTACAGAGAAAAAGATCTTCTGCCTGCTGGTTCACTCCCCAAGTGGTCAAAATGACCAGAGCTGAGCCAATCCGTTGCCGGGAGCTTCTGGGTCTCCCACGCAGGTACAGGGTCCCAAGGCTTTGGGTCTTCTCCCACTGCTTTCCCAGGCCACAAGCAGGGCATTGGAAGGGAAGCGGAACAGCCAAGACATGGACCGGTGCCCATATGGGATCCTGGTACATGCAAAGTGGGGATTCAGCCACTAGGCTATTCCAGCAGCCACATCTGAAGAATGTGTGTGCCTTGTGGCTGTTAGTGAGTGTCCCTTGGCTATGTGTGGATCTCTGAAGGATGTGCGTGCCTTGTGGCTCTGTTAGTGAGTGTCCCTTGGCTATGTGTAGATCCTGGTGTGCAAGAGGAGTGGATGGCATGGTGCATGCCTTGGTGTCAGGATGCCCCAGTTGGCAGAGGAGACTGGTGGAAACACAACTGCTGGTGGGATGGCCGGGCGGTAGGGTTGGCTGGCAGGGCTGCTCCAGAGGCATGCTGCTTTCAGAAGCTCAGCAGCAGGACTTGTCTGTGGTGTTGGCAAGCTCCCTGGGGCACCCAGTGTAGCTGCAGTATGACTCCTTGGGAACTGACCCTTAGACCACCCCTACAGTGGACAGAAAATGACAAATGCAAGTCAAGTAGCTGCCTAAAGGGAGGCAGAACCAGAACAGTGTTAGGTATGTTGTGACTGCCCTGAATGCCTGTTGGTGCACAGGAAAGGCCTGTTTCTGGTGACAGAATACCTTTCACATTTGATATCAAAATTTGGAATGGCCTTGCCCAGAACCGTTCTCCTAAGTCAGAGTAAATCCTCCCAATTTCTCGTTGTGGTGAAGCTGGATGTATTTGCCATGATGACCCAACTCAAGGGCCCAGAA